AAGACACAGGTGACCCCCCTTCCCACTGTAGGCCTGTGCAGGCTAGGCTGGGCGTCCCAGGTCCGCTGACCAGGGCTTGAGCCACAAGGTTTCGGAGCCGCACATGACAAGCAGTGACATGCCAATCCGAAACATGAAAGTGGAGGGAGGCTCTCTTTCTACTCGCCGAATCCCGGAGATGTCCACTCTTGCCAAGCTCGGAGGGAGAAGCGCTCCTTCATGGCCAGCTTTGCAGACATCTTCCAAGTATTCCGAGGGCTCAATCCTCCTGAATTGATTTTCCTCCTACGCCCCAAACAAATCCCTGAAGTGAAGGGTGCTTTCCTCGTACTGCGGCAGGATGCTGTTTGTCGACCCACGTGACCTCCGTTCTCGCGGCGTCCGCGCTTCGGAATGGCAGAAAACATTGTGTTATGCTGCTCAAGCCTCCTTGCAGGCTGCATCCAAGATGTGTAAAAAAGGAACCTGTGCCTGGGACCACGATCAGCAGAACATCTAACTTCAAGGATCCACCACGCCTGCTGGGGTTATTTGGAGGGCGCTACATTCGAGGAACTCAGATCCGAACAAGTCTGACGTGTTCGCAGTGCCGCAATGTAGAAGCCTGCTGTCCATGACTACCTCGAGATTATGCTGGTGCCAAATCTCTGTGTGTAGGCATATCAAGGTCCACAACAGTATCTGTGCAAGGGACGCAGTCTCCCATGTTCATGGTACAGAGAACCGCGCTGTCTTCGTCAACCTCGCCCAGAGCCCAAAACTTTGAGCAATGACCAAACTTCACTCCACTTCTGCTACGGTCCCAACTTCTTTCATTCCCAAGTGGAGCTCTCCATCCTCACACGAACAAGGGAGCACTGCAAGGGCATCAGCTTTTAAAATGCTACGACATGCGAGCTAAGCCCAGCACCAAATGGGATTTGGGATACATCTTAGTCGGACCTCGCCTGGGTACGAACGCAGTGGACATGTCGACTGAAACACAAGGCGGCCGCGGATTCTAAGGGCAGTACGCCGACACGATGTCGTGGAGCGCGACCTGACATTCCAACACGACATGAGCTGGCTTCTTGATCTTGCACAGTGAATGGAAGCTCGTCAGGGCTGCAAATATCGTCACCACCTCAGACCAACTCCGACAACATGAAGGTGTGACATCCTCAATGCTGCCATGCGAACCTGCTGATCGTAGACATGGGAAGTGTCAGCGTGAACCTGAAAACTGCAACGCTCTTCGGCGTACCATCCCTCATCAAACTAAGCCGATGTGCTGGCTGCCCAGGGTCCGAAGGAAAAGTACACATGGCCTGGCAGCCGAATGTCAACCCAAACAGAAACCCTATGTGTGACAACAAACAGGAAAGCAACACTGCCATCTCCGTCAATTGCCAAGAAGGTCGCAGCGTTTCCAGCACCTATCATCGTCCTAGACCTAGCTTATTCGATCCTCCACCTGCCCCACGCATATGCATGCGCACCTTTTGCAAACGGCCCAAGATGCTGACGAGGGCAACTTTCACCTGCAACCGAGAAGTCAGCAAAAGACAGCATGCGTGAGTTTGTAGACGAGAACCAATCCTCGTTCGAGAGCTGGAGCTTTAGATCCCACCGATGCCCGGAATCCTGGCAGACAGGCCAAGTTGCATCTTGCGAACCTCATGGCGGGACCGAGCCTCGTAGCCATACACATCACCAAAGAACACGGGATCACCATCACACCGTCTTTGCTCGAGCTCGGATTGAACTCGACAGCACAATGCCTGAAAAGGACATTTCCAGGCTGTGCACCCATATCATATCGAAAATCTACTGCGCCGCCTCTGCCACTTCAAAGGGCAGGATGTTTTTGATTCGGACAAGTCCATCGCGGCTAAATGCCGCAGCAACCTGCCAGAGATGCACGATGGTATCGGATGTGACTCCAGTGTCTTTGCATCAACGCATTGATGTGCAAATGGTGAAAAACTTGATGAGTTGCGTCCCGGGCATGGTCGGGCAGCCGTGATGCCTCAACCTTCGCAAAGCACCAAACAAAGACTATAAATTCACATCCTAGACACCAGCTTACGAGGTCCCTGCCGAGAACGCATCCAGCTTGCAAGAACATTCTGCACTGTTCATTGTGATGTGTCCACGAAATGTTCATCGTGCTTTCTGCTTCCAGTCTTTGGCCCTGGTTATTACATCATGTGTCCACATCAAGTGTCACCTCCACGGTTGTTAGATGATTCATGACACTGCCAACAATGCCATTGCAAGACAGCAACTTCCAAGTTGCGCAGCTTGACCAAAAAAAAAAAAAAAACGTATTTCAGGATAAACTAACAAACTAGTCTAAATTTTCGTTTGGGCGACTGCTGCTTCGGAACCTCGGCAAACGACAACAACTACAAACAATATTTAGATACCTTTCTTTCAGCACGCTAAAACCGCGTCTTTTCAGCTTGTCGAAAAACCGACAAGGTTCCAGAGCGGTCGGATGTATGTTGGTCGGCAGTTCAAAGGCACAGATGACCTGCAGCATAAAGGGATGTAGCCAAATGGTTCACAAAGAACTCTGGAGACCAGGCGAAGACGGCGAAGGTTTGAGCAGCTGCAAAAAAGTCATAAAGCTCTAGAAGTTCCAAGCTTGGGAAGCTGCCAAGAAACGCGCAGAGCGTACGCTGGGGTAACCCCCTTTCCGGGAGGGTAGCTGAGCTGATGGGCGGAGGTTGCTGACGGGCGGAAGTGCGGACGCGCAGAGGTAGACAGAAAGCTGGAATCTGGCGGGCGGAAGCTGGTCGAGTATAGGTTGCTGACAGGTGGGGGGCCCTTGTGTAAGCTGTGGTGAAACCAAGGATATGATGGCCATTATGTGGGTTCGAAGAAGAACCATTCGCATTGGCGAACGGCTGGCACGGCAGAGGCTGCCGAGGCCGCGACAACTGAGGAGGTCCGGCTTGCAAGCAGGACAGAGTCTTGAAACTAGGCTGGTGCACGATTGCGAGTCAGGGATTTGCCTGATGTGTCCTTAGCATGTGCTTGTGATCTTTTTGTACTCGTGCCGAAGTCGCGGTTCCACAGTGCGCGGGGACGAATCGCGATCCCGCATCTCTCAAAGTGCAGCCCTACACGATTGCAGTCTTTTGAGCACTGTGCAGCTGCATGAGTGACTGAGTCAGTGATTGCAGCTGCATGAGCCAGTGATTGAGCGATGCATTTCAGTTCAGCGCGCAGCTTGTGGAAGCGATAGGGTCTCAGCTGCAGAGCAGGCCGTGTGCGAGCAGACACATATACACATAATCGCGGCATGTCAATCTTTTTTCAACCTCCAAGCATTATTTTGCGCAGTCTTTCCTCGGCTCCGTTTTATCGCGAACCCGAATCTGCAGAAGATGCTTTTCTGGACCTCCGGCGCACTCTGCCAGAGACGCATACACAAGACAGATGCAAATCGTAAATTAGAAATTGGCAAATGAAACAAACCAAGCAGGGAAAATAAATGCAATCAGAAAAAAACAACGCAAATTGGTAAGTAAGGCAAGTGAGACAAAAAATGCAAAAGAAAAAGAGACTTTTCAAGAGAAGACTTGAGAAGGAGGCTTGAGAAGAAGTCTCCCAATTCTCTAAACACGCAAAAGAAAGCCACACAAAATCGCTTCTTCAGAAGGTTTTCCAAAAAAATGATAAAAACACCTTCAAACAAGTCAAATTCAAAAATCAGCTCAAGAAATTGAAAAGCCTCTCAAAGTTTCCTGTGTGAAACACCTTCGACTCTTCAAGCCTAACTGAAGATTGAGAATGTTTTTTCTCAAGTCCCTTTGCAATTCAAAGCTCCCTTCCAAGTCTTCAAGACCTGAAAAGAAGATAAACTCTTCGCCTTGAACTTCGATCCTTTGTCTCTTGATCAAATTCATTTCTTAGTTTTTCTTTCTTTTTTTTAAGCCTAAGAGCGTTTTTCGTGGCTGTCTTCTTTTATGTGCAGACAAGTCTAGAAAGACGTCAGAGACCCATCTCCTGACAAGCAAGACTTCTAAATTGCGTAGTGGTCTTCACTCTTGAAGCGGTTCTGTGTGCGTTCCAAACGATCTACACGCTCTACGACCACAGAAAAGACCGACAACAGTCCGGAGTTCAACAAAACGCCTTGGAGAAACACTGCTGTTCACAAGGCTTGGACAGGCCGACACCAATCCGGTCTTGAGCCAAAACAGACACAACTCTCTGCAGCTTGCTAGGAAGACGACTAGCAGGGACTTGGGTTTCTAAACACTTCCATAAGGGCAGTCCAGGAACTGCCAAACTCCAAGAAACGTCCCTACGGGCTCGGAAAACAGTCCTTCACCTTCCAACTACAGGCAAAAGAACGAAAAACTGGCCCAGACGCTCACTCTCACCGAGGAGAAACGTTCACAGGAAGGCCGTCGTTTCACGACAAACCTCAGGGTGACCGGTCCCTCGGATGGTATGACGCACGAGCCGTGGCTCTGACATGCCGGGAAGAGCAGGACCTTCTTCAGTTCCGAGAGCTGGAGCGGGGTAGGAGCTGCTTCAGTCCCAGCTCCAACCGGGTTCTGTAGAGTGGCTTCTGCCCAAAGTAAGACTGGATCTGGAATCCTGTCGTCAAATGAGCGAGCATGGCAAGAAAACCGAAGGTACTCTCAGACCTCACCAGCACGCGTCTATCGGCCTTATACGTAAAGCCGTTGAGCATATGAGGACGTTCACCGGCATAAGGCCGTTGGCAGTGCAAGCAAAAACCAGCTTCTTATCCGGACACGCAGTCGATATCTCCACAACAGGTCATTCATGCCTGCACACCGTGCCTACCAGGTCTATATGTGCCTTAATACAAACAACGACCGTCGTCTATGAGTCGACAAATTATAAGCTGCATCCAAAAAATGTATATGTATATATGTATGTATACATATATATATATATACATATGTATATATACACATACATACATACTTGTGTATACGTATATGCATGCATGTGGACGATATGTGTGTGTGTATATGTATATATATATATAGAGTAGCGCACGATCGATCCCCTGCCATATGTGTAATTATAATTATATATATATATACATACGTGTGTATATATATGATATATGCACGCGCAGGACGGCGAGCTCTAGAAAGAGAGAGAGCGAGCGAGAGAGCGAGAGAGAGAGAGAGAGAGAGAGAGAGAGAGAGCTCTCCATGCAACACCATCACCGCACAAAGTCACACAGGACCTTATATTCCACAACGCCTCAAGAAATGCCCGTGCCGAAAATAACCATTCCCCTCCAGCAACCACGCAAGTCCCCGAACATCAGCCACCACGAGCGATGTTTAAAGGGCCGGCCCGTGGACCAGTCCCTGTATAATAGAACAAAAAAACAACCTACCCCACAAAACGGCGAAACCCAAAGGCGGCCCTAGGAGCTCGGAGAGAAGATAAAAAGATAGTATAGCTCGAGGTAGAGAAGCGAGAGAGGAAAGGGCGGAGTTTCACTTGAGGACTTTAGGAATTTGCGGGGTCCAGGGTTAAATTTGGGGTCTGGGGTCTACTTAAGGTTAAATTTGATATACACAACGCAGGGGCTTCATAAAGGATCGACTTGGGATGAATGGATCTCCGACTGGCACAAGGGCATGCACATGACGCTCTACACGAGCTTCGGCCTGACTTTTTCAGTCTTGGCGGCGCCACTGTAAGCACATCTGAACGGTATACCGCATTAAGACGTGCCGAGCCATGTGCCGAACTGGGGATTTGGAAGCCAGTGCCTTAATGCGCCTTACGGCGTCTTCACCGAGATAGTTGCTGAAATATCTCGGGTTCATGGGCTTAAAATCCAGAACCGCATGCTCGAGCACGTGGATTTTGGGT